TTAAGAGAGTATGCAAGTATGGTTTCACGTGAGTAAGTAACAGAGCAGTAATTAAGGGAGTATGAAAGTATGGTTTCACGTATCATTACACACATTTGGAAGTTAGTTAACATCTTTCATGATCAGTTCTCTCTCTCTGCTTTGTTGTTTCTTCTGGTCTGTGGAATTCAGTATGGCTGGTCCTGGAAGTTCTGTAAAAATTCTCTTATCTATGACTACTTTTCCCAGTTAGGATTATTGAAATTTCAGAATTACAGTATTGACTGTATTTGGGTTTTTTTATGTGAGTTCCAGGGATCAAAGTCAGTTTGTTAAGCTTTTATGGCACTGGCTTTACCCACTGAGTTATTTGACCATCCCTGAAAAATTTTAATCTTTTTTTTTTTGTTTATTTGTTTGCTTCTTTTTGTTGTTTTTAGTCTTTTTGAGACAGTGTCTCCCTGTGAGCCAAGCTGACGCAGAACTTGCTATGTAGACCAGGCTGATGTCAGACTCATAGAGATCCACCTGCCTCTACTTCCTAAGTGCTGGGATTAAAACTGTGCACCACCAAGCCCTGCATATATTTAAGAGTCTTCAGATATAGGTATCTCTTTTTAAAAAAATGTTTATGAGCTTTTGTAATTTCTTACATTTCTTAATCAAATTTAGATCCTTACCTCCATGCATGCCTCCTGATCCCCCAACAGACTTTATGTATTCCATACATTAAGTAGAGTAGGGGTCAAGAGATGGGAATGGTGGGGCTAGTGTTATTGGGGGCAGGTGTGGATATGGGGGCAGTAGGACTGGGGAGGGATGAAGGAGGCCAGATGGGCATGAAAGTGTAGAAATGAATGAATGGGTGGGACTAGGAATCCCAGAGGGAAATGTGATGTCCCTGAAACCCATGAGAAATGCCCATACAGTGTCTAAACATTAGTGCATATGTATATCTGGGAACGGCTTGACAAGGAACACAGTGCCAGACAGAAGACCTCCCCTTAAATGGTTGGTGAGAGTGGGTCAACAGACTCCAAAAATAACACAGGCTATTGTGAAACCTCTTTTTTATCTCCCAGAATTAATAAAGTCACTACTGCTGAAGACATGACATACTTTGGATGTAGGGCTTGGAGAGATGGAGCAAGAACTGACCTGGAGATCTTGCACCCAAAATTTAGCTATCATAATGCTAGATGATAATATGCAAACCACCAATAGAGAAAACATCAGTGGTCCAATGCAGCCCTAAAACCTAATAACCATAATGACAGCACAGCAAACTATCTCTATTGGTGCAGCAGTGCTACTGTTATATGGGGACAATCAACAGCTGCCTAATTGGAATTAAAACCCTTTCAATGGGAGTGAACTCATGGATGGCACTGTAAATTCAGTCAAATACACATGACAAGAGAGGACACAGGTCCTAGAAAAACCCAATCTGTTTCCTATCTCTAAAAAAATGAATTTTCTTACCATATGCTAAATATGAATCCTTATATTTACAGACAAGTATACTGTATGCCACTCATCAAAGAAGCTTCTTTTTACAACAGATGGACACTAATGCAGATTCCACTAGTGATCAGACACAGAGAATATACATCTGAAAGATGCCAAGTTCTAGGTGAGACATCTGCAGCTGAACCTCTACACCTAAGACTCGTGGAACAGGACAGAACAAGGGGTAGCCTGAACACTAATGCAACTGTCAACTCTCATCAGTAAACCTTCTTTATAACACAGTGTTATGCATAGAGAAGGCCAGAAATGGCCAAGATTTAAAGAATAAACTGCAGCAGAATATGTATCGTTGAATGGGACTCCTATACTCAACCTCATCCCCCCATGACTCGGGGACTGTGGTGGAAGAGGGGACAGCAAGTTTGGAAGAGTCAGGGCTGGTTCATCAACACAAGGAAGAGGCTATTTTCAGGCCATTGGATCTGTGATATAGTGATATAACCTGAGATCCGTCATTGTGATTCCCCCCCAGAGCTGTTCTTTTGCTCAACATAACTTTAGCTCTTTGGGGTCTTTTGTGATTCCACATGAATTTTAGGTTGAATTTTAGGTTGTTATGGGTATTTTGAATGGGATTGCATTAGTGCCTACATTAATAAACCAAAGAGAGCACATGTAAATGACTTAACAGTGCAAGACAAGATTCTAGAAAGGCAAGAACAAGCCAATCTATAAATTGCTTTTAGTAAAATTGTCATTTTACAGTATTGAGTCTACCAATCCTTGAGCATGATTGGTCTTTCCATCTCCTATGGTCTTCTTTTATCTCTTTTTAGAGATTAAATTTTTCATTGTAGAGCTCTTTATTGTCTTTAGTTAGGTTGATTCATAAATATGTTTTTTGAAGCTATTGAGAATGGGAGGGTTTCCTTTAGGGGTTTTTCTGATTGCTTGTTATTGTTATATAGAAAGGCTATGGATATTTGTTAAGTTGATTTTGCAACCTGCCGATTTACAAAAAGTATTAATCCTTCTATCTTGGTTAAACTTTCAGATAACCAGTGCTTAGATTCAATAACTTTTTGTATTACTTTGTTTCTATTTCATTAATTTCTGCTCTGATATTTATTTCTTCTCATCTATTAGGTTTGGGGTTGGCTTGTTCTTGCCTTTTGAGAGTCTTCTGTTGCACTAAGTCATTTACATGTGATCGTTTTGGATTACTAATGTAAGCACTAATAACTAACTATAAGCTTCCCTCTTAGAATTGCTTTTAAAGTGTCTGAGAGGTTGTTCTTTGTGTGTTTGTGTGTGTGTGTGTGTGTGTGTGTTGTATTATCATTTTCATTTAGTTCCAGCAACACTTTTATTGCTTTCATAAATTTTTTTTGATCCAGTCATCATTCAGGCATGTGTTGTTTAATCTACATGAGTTCCTGTAGTTACTAGAGATTCTTTTGCTGTTGATTATAAGCTTTATAGCCCAGATCTTTAACTTTATCATACAGTCTTCATATTCTGTATTCCAGTTCTGCCTGCTTGTGAGGCTTTCTCCTGTTGTTTCTAATTGGTTTATTGAGTTATTCAATCCCATGTTCATTTCACTATTTCTATCTCTTTGCTAAATTCACTTTTCAAGTCATGAATTGCCTTTGAAATTTCATTAAGCCACATATTTATATGTTCGTGGACTTCCATCACAGATTTCTTCCTTTCCTCTTAGAGTTATATGAGTTGTTTGTGTTTTAAGTTCTTTCATCATGTTTATGATTGTTCTTTTAAATTCTGCATCCTGAGTTTCCTCAGTGTGGTTCACATAGTAGTGCACTTTGGTGGGACTAGTGGGTTTTGTTGGGGACATATTCTCTTTGGTTTTTCAGATTATTTATGTTTTTGCACTGCCGTTTTGGCATGTGGACATTCTTTGTAAGTTGGGTCGAGTAGGAACTTCTAATTTTTTTGTGTGTGATTTAATTTTGGTTCTTTTTATATTGTATATGTAGCTTGGTTGTTTTTTATTCAGGTTTGGAAAATACATTGGTGTGTGTGTCAGGTTCTTTCAGGGTAGTAAACTGGGCTAAGTGGATGGTGGGACAGGGTAGTAGGTAGGCTAGACAGGTTAGTAGGAGGGCTGGTCTGCATCAAACAGATCAGAAGTCAATGGAGTCTATCCTAGGGAGTTTAGTTAGTCTGGGTTAGGGAGCTAGTCTAAGGATCTGAGGCAGAGGAATTGGAGATGGCCTGGGTACAGGCTGGCAGGGAATAGGGTGGCAGTGGGCAAATGGAATGGAATAGAGAGAAGTACGTGGTGTAGACTTACCAGAGAGCAGGCTGGGCAGATCTATCCAGCTAATCAGAAGTCAGGGAAGATGGTAGAGTTGAGGGGACTGCCTGAGTAGATACTTAGCAATATATAGTAAGGTGTTTAGCTAGTGTAGGTAAGGGATCTAGTCTAGGGATCTGACACAGAAGAATTGGAGTCTGCCTGAGTCTAAGGCTGGCTGGGACAGGGTGGGATTGGGCTAGAAGAATGGAATCAAGATCCAGTGAGCATGCAGGATCTGACTTTCCATATTCCTAGATAGACAGGTCTGTCTGACTGATCAGGAGCCAGGGAAGATGGAGGTGGATGGAATCACCTGAGTAGGGATTTAGCAATCTATGGTAGGTTGTTTAGTTAGTCTGAGTTAGGAATCTAGTCCAGGGATCCAAGGTGGAGGAAATGGAGTCTGCCTTGGTCCAGGACTGGCAGGAGATCATATAGGATATCTTCTAAAAAGGCATCTATTCACATATTCTGAAAATTGTATTTTTCCTGATATTTGAGAAATAATATCAGTGGGAGAATAAATGATAAACTTCAGAGGAAGTACTAGAGACATGCACTTTGTTGACAATGTATATTTTCAAAGTATATAGGAAGAAATTTCAAATTTGCTAAGAGTAAACCTTTAAAATCTTTGTGTTGGTCAAACTGTTTCATGATTTCTTAGTCCCAAGAACTCTTATTCACTCCTCAATAATTAAAACATAATTGATCTTACATGTTTTTTTCTGGCATTTCCAGATAATAATATGACATAGACACTTCAGTAACAAAGTTCTGTTCATACTGTGACTGGTGATTAAGCATGTCTGTATTCATGTACCTAAAGCCCAGGTATGGGTTAGACCACTCAATAATTGGCATAAGATGGCACAATAAAAAGTTAGGCATTGCTGATCTCATATTCCCTATGAGCTGCACAGTTAGGGTTCTTCTATTTGGATCTAGGTCTTTCTGAGTCACCAGAAATATTGCAGAGGTTCCTAACTGAAGTACAAAACACATGAGACTGGAAATAAATTAAAATATTCAGTCTACAATTTGAAAATTCTACTATGAACTTTAATATACTTGTGAAAACTATGCATCAGAAACCCCATTTCTGGTATAGAGCACAAACAAATTCTTGTGACTACCAAGAAAGAGAATGAAACCAATGAAGAAATAGTTTTGGAAACAAACTGATTAAAATATTTAATGCAAAGGAAAAGGTGTATCTTTTTTAAAAAATATGGAATGCTTCAAGAATTGTGTGTTAATATTGCACAGGAGCCATGCTCATCTTCTCTGTGTCATTTCAATTTTAGTATATGTGCTGCCAAAGTGAGCACAGAAAAATTATATCTTAAGGGATGTTTTTGGAGGGTGGAGAATTGACACAGTATCTCAATCTGTATTACAGGTGGTCTGGAATTCACAACACAGACTAGTCTGTTCTCAAACTCTTATAAAACTTTCTACCTCAGCTTTGATAGTCCTAGAATTTAGAGGGATGGACTACAGTAACCAGTTCTCAAGGGGTCTTTATTGAACATACTATTTGGGACAAAATCTTTTTGTAAAGGAAGTTTCATGTGCCTTGCATTACATATATTCTCATCTAAGACTACATTATGCAACTCACCAAAAATAAAAATAGCTGCATTTATGTTCAAATTGACTATAACGTACAAAAACCTCACTATTCTATGCTTCATTAATTTAAAAAAGCCACAGGATTGGATTAGTGCTCAAATTCTGTATTTCTCATTCCCTTATACATATTTCTTGTTATACTATTACCAGGTCACTAAGATATTTCCTCTAAGACGATGCTGCCTTCATTGATGCACTCAGTTCTGAGGAACTAGGATGCCAAGGGCTAAATCTTCTACCAGCTTCTCTCATTTAGCTCGTGGCCCACTACGCTGGTGTTGCTATGTGTTCCACAGCAATAGTACATGTGCATTACTTGGTATCTTTTTAAATTATTTATTTATTAAGCACATACTTAGAGAAAGCATTTCATTACATCAGAATTGACATATTCAATAACAATTTTCTGAGCTAGGATGCATCTCTTACAAAATTGGCTGTACATTTTTAGGTTTAGAGTTGAATTTTTACAGTTATACAATATTGTACTCAGTATAAAACCTATAAGACATAAAATTAAATGAGGTTTTAACCTTTAAAAGAGATCTCTATTTCATTATTAAAATACAGAGTTTCATACAGAAAACTTCATTATTAATGCAATTGACATTAAGATGTTTGCACATGCGTTTCTAATTGCTATATATCAGATTATTTCTAGTCACAGTTGGTTACTTTCTGAGCTCCTTGGCATCTTAGCATGCATATAGAGTCATCAGGTAGATTTCAATGATAATGTTTTTCACGTATGTTAGTTATTAAGGAGCAAATTTTTATGCTTTGAAGAATTATTTTTTAATCATTATACTTTTTTCAATTTTTAATAACCACATGATCAGAAGTTTTCACTACAGTTTTAACATATTCAGCAACACACTCCAGAGCAGGAGTGCATCTCCTTCACAAGTGGGTGCAAGTCTCCAGGTCCACAGTTGAATTAATATAGTTATATATTATTGAACTCAGTATAAGCCCATCCACACACTAACATTGAGACTTTGGTGTCCGCATCTCCAAACTGTATACATCTGACCATCTCTAGTCATAATCAGCTGCACTTGGATCCCTGGCTCCAGTGTATGTCCACAAAGTCATTGAGCAGATTTCAATGGTATTGTTTATCACCTCTACTAATTAGCATGATATAAATTTCCATGCTTCCTCCTCAAATATAATACAATTTTAAAAATTTGGGTTTTTTTGTGTGTATATATCACTCAGAACATCCCAAACCATCTCATTCGACTATACACCCACTTCCCAGATAGCACCCTCCCTTTGGCCACCCTGGCCAACAACTCAAAAGAAGGTATCGCCTGTCTGGCATTTTTTTTTTTTTTATGTAGCCTTTAGTTATGCATATGGACTCTTAAGAAATTATATTGGCCACTTTAATCTTTGCTTATACTTTCCTTTTGGGTGTTTCAGGCCATGCAGTTGGTCTAGATAAACCAATTTATTTTTACTCTTAAGGTCATTTGAGGATCTGTTCCTCGGGGGTCACATGG